CTACTATAGCCCTCCCTGCCTCTTCATCCGGATTGGATTGGATATCGTGGATTGGGAGAAGGAATAGATCAGAGCTGCAGAATCCGTTTGTCGCTGCACTTTCTCCCTTATCGCAAACTTCAACAGAAGGAATACCTATGGCACTGCTCTCAAGGGCGAATCCCTCCAAGCTAATCATATGAGCGAGGACAGTTAGCCATTGGTCCTTCCACTGGTTCCTCAGAAGGTCGAACGGAACGTTACACCGATGACAAGCACACGACTTGGCTGGCCGTCTCCGACTCAATGAACGGCAAGGTCAAGAGTTTCAAGATTATATTGTAAGTTCAAGATAACCAGGGGTACACTACCCCCCCCCCCAAATTTAGCGGGTGGACAGCAGGATCAGCTTCACCGTCGCCCATCCACACCTAGGGGGTTTCTTCCAACCCTTTCCTCGGAACGCATACGCGCGCATGGGCAAGTGTACGGGTCAGTAGGTGAAACATGCATCGAACTATGAAGTGAACGTTCACAGAATCCTAGAGAAAGCTCGGCTTCAGCCGAGATCAACGATTAAAACTCGAGATCGGCACATCACGATAGGGATGTGCATGCTAATTAGCATTTCACCCCTGAAGTCAATTGAAATCAAGACACATGGAGGAAGGAAACGGATCTTTGGCCACAACTCTACACCCTAGATAGCATTGGCGTCGTGAACTACAGAAAGCAAATAAAAATGAGGGACATTTCTGAGTGAATATTGAACGCGAACCTGCTATTTTCGTCGATGAGTGGTACTGGAAAAGATACTGGCGTCGGCATTTCGGCCACCTGCACTGGTTCGACTTGTGTTGCGGACAAAGGCACGAATACTGAAAAAAACGAGCTGATTCATAAAAACATATGTTCAGAGAAACAACTTATAACGCCAGCGCCAAGGCTCAGCTCCACTTCAGGAAGGTTGAAAATTGGCAAATCCTCACAAGAAGGCCCAACAAAAAATATTCCGGATGAATGTGACATCATTCAGCCCTCTTGAAGAAAAGGAGTGTTTGGAATTGAAGAAGTACGGAAATCAGTTAAAAGTTTCGCTGCTAAAAC